TAAGTAATAGCCCAATGGCCTCTGTGGGTGTGGAGACATATAGAAGCTATATACCACACAGTTAACTAAGTTTGTGGTCAGGAACAGTTAGCATATGTTGTTCACTATTTGTAGGCACAAATAATTTCATAAAGAATGAAATGACATGTGCATGTATTATATAATTTCTATCTGGTGCAAAATTTGTATGAGATTTGGTGTTGTGTGACCGTGCAAATTCCATGTTTGTCATATATAACTCTAAGATTGTCCAATTCACTTCCAGTTTTATTTTCATGGTTGTCATACATGTAGGTATACAAGGCATCAATTTTATGTCACTCCCATAGCTCTGTTAGACTCTCTTCCCTTTATCCGTTCTTCTATCGGAACTTTACCTTAACACATACAGAGCTCCCTACTGAATATGTATATGTATATACTAGCAATGAACAAGTGCTCAACTACAACTCTTAGTAGAAGTCATAATCATAGTAGCAGTGGTAGTAGTAGTAGTCCTCGTCATATCACTTTCCAATACTTTTTATACATCCAGGTGTCACTCAACTACCAAACAAGAATACTCTGTACTGATTGGTTAATTGCCTCTATAAGTTAATGCCTTACTTTACATACACATTTATTTGCTATTGTCAATGAAGACCACCCAGCTCTTCCTGTCCAAGGCTGTGACAAGGTTTCAACAGGAAGTCTGATTACCTAAATGGGCTGCAACAACTTCTGATCTTCTCTAGGCTACTAGAATACTCATTAATTACCATCTTCTCTATCCTCTCTGAATGCCCCATTGTCCATTGTCATAGTTGTATGAATATAGCTTGATTTGATTCTTAGAACAACTTCTTTTAATGAACAAAAAGTCCTACAGTCAGGATAAATGACTGATTCATTTCAGGGCCATTGGGATCAGTGTACAATGAAACAAAAATATTAGGAGTGGTTGATATCATAGCTTGTAGTTAAATACTGGCCCAGGTGTGTGTCATGTCTTACTTTAATGCTCAAGTCCAAAATACAAGATATGATCAAACACAATTGTAAATATGATAAATCTTCTCACAATAGCCTGATGTATGTTATATGCTTGAGACAAAATTCCTGTAGTGTTTGACAAGATTGTAATTTAGAGTTTCCCTCTGATGTTTGTACCTAACAATACTTTACTTCTCTAGCAATATTGGTCTTGTTTATTCTTTGAATTCCTGAATCTGTGTGGCTGTTTAGATCCCAGAAATACAACCTGGAACAGTAAATCAACTCGGATGTTTTGTGGGGTATATATTAATCAAATTATTGCTTTTTTAAAGCTCTTGAACACAAATACCAGAAATCAGTAGATAAGGCACTGCATTTATACGTACAAAAAAGGAAGATTGGGAAATAGAAGGAAAGATGAGCGTTAGGTTGTATATGTAGACTTAACAGCTATAATTATTACATTTTGTTTATAAACAGTTTATAGATCTGAGTAAACAGAAGTGTGGAACACTGAGTACATGTACTCAGGATACAAGTCTACAGAAGGACATCATTAAAGATTGTCTACCAGGATTTTACTGTCACAATTCACATTGAATTTCAAATACATGTGTGTATAACATCTACAATTCAAGCTCATCAAATTTTATCAGCTGAGCACATGCTGTAGACAAAATAAACAAGATGAAGTGTATTTGAAAGGTATTGTAACTTTTTATATACAGATTTCTCTATAGCTTTAGTTCAGACATATCTTATTGCAAAACATTAAAAATGTATTAGGCACAAGTTATGGTAATTTTCTATAATACTCATACATATAAATTACTGAAAATTTGTAACAAAAACATAATTTTTGAGTACTTCATAATGATAAAATCATTCTACAGATTGTCTCCTTAGTACTGTTTATAACAGATATTAAAGCCAACACAGGTGGTTTTGACATCAGAGCAAAACAAAGATAAAATCAGTGAAACAAAAAGTATTCTATCGCTGGAGAATGTCTGGAGTGTGCCATATCTATTCAAATCTGTAATGTTATTTGGCTGTAACCAGAACGAGCCAGGTGGTAGAGGGATTGTAATAGATCACCTATGTATAGTAATGTAAATGTTTTATAATAAAAAGTTCTGATTCTTTTTCCATGATGTTTGCTAATTAGTACAGTTAATTGGAAATCAAATGTTAAATTCTATACCTTAATTAACAGGATAACAGAGTTAGTTCCCCTTCTTATTCTCCAAGAGATTAAGTAATTTTTTATATATTCTTGTAGTTACATACTTATGAAGCATTGACCATGTTGTGCACACTCGGTTATCCCAGCTGGAGGAAGCTACTTACAGTTTATCAAGGAAGCTTAAGTTCTTTTATACCTTATTTCTCTAACAATAAGCCCAGGGACCAACTCATTACTTCTTATATAAGTTGGGCTGGACCTATTACAATGATTTCTGTTTTTACTTCACAGCAATATTTACAGGTGGGCTTATTACACAGTAATAAATTATTTTCAAAAGAAACTTGAATTGAACAAAAATGGAGAAATGGGACACTAGCCCAAGGACATTGAGGATATATGTTATATAGTATCTAGACAAACCTACTCCTTTTATTCTGGTTTAAGAAGGCTTTCCTAAGGAATTCTCCTCTAAAACCTGAACTGATTTAGAGAAGCAAGGGTGGTGTCATGGAAGCATAAGAAATATAGAAGATGTTAATTAACTATAACATGTTTGTTCTACCTGGTGAGGATCAATTTTTGTTTTGTTCCCCAACTTTACTGAGAAAAAAATCTGAGCGATCAGCTACAATAGAGTGCCAGTAACTTTTTATACTCAAGTGAGTCCTTCCTATTCTGTTGTATCAAAAAAACACACTCCAACATGTCTATATTTCCTCCTACGTTTTTACTGCCCAGGGTGCTTATATAAGGTCAGGTATGTTATACTTCACTGACAAAAGTGTGTGTCTATAGACAGAAAGACCCTGCAGGCCTTGGGTTTTAATCATTTTCCTGGTGTTAAATATAACACCTGGAAACTGATGCAGTTCATGGCTGAAATATTCAATACTGATGAAAAGGATTTTTTTGTTATGTTCCTTTCTGTATGGATCAATTTCAGTGACCAGTGTCTGTGTTGTTAGTCAGACTTCAAAGGTATCTGGGATTGACATTTTATGATGTTTATGCTTTTGTAGATGTACTTTGTCATCATGTTGTCAGACTGTCATTGTGATATTGTGTTGTCAGACTGTCATTGTGATATTGTGTTGTCAGACTGTCATTGTGATATTGTGTTGTTAGACTGTCAATGAGATATTGTTTTTTCAGACTGTCAATGTGATATTGTATTGTCAGGTTGTCAATAGGATATTGTGTTGTCAGACTGTCAATGAGATTTTTGTTTCAGGCTGTCAATGAGATAATGTGTTGTCAGGTTGTCAATGAGATATTGTGTTGTCAGGTTGTCAGTGTGATATTGTATTGTCAGACTGTCAATGTGATATTGTATTGTCAGGTTATCAATGTGATATTGTGTTGTCAGGTTGTCAATGTGATATTGTATTGTCAGGTTGTCAATGAGATATTGTGTTGTCAGTTTGTCAATAGGATATTGTATTGTCAGACTGCCAATGTGATATTGTGTTGTCAGGTTGTCAATGTGATATTGTGTTGTCAGGTTGTCAATGTGATATTGTGTTGTCAGGTTGTCAATGTGATATTGTGTTGTCAGGCTGTCAATAGGATATTGTGTTGTCAGGTTGTCAATAGGATATTATATTGTCAATGAGATATTGTGTTGACAGGTTGTCAATGAGATATTGTGTTTTCAGATTGTCAATGAGATATTGTGTTGTCAGGTTGTCAATAGGATATTGTGTTGTCAGGTTGTCAATAGGATATTGTGTTCTCAGGTTGTCAATGAGATATTGTGTTGTCAGGTTGTCAATAGGATATTGTGTTGTCAGGTTGTCAATGAGATATTGTGTTGTCAGGTTGTCAATAGGATATAGTGTTGTCAGATTGTCAATGTGATATTGTGTTGTCAGACTGTCAATGTGATATTGTATTGTCAGGTTGTCAATGTGATATTGTGTTGTCAGATTGTCAATGAGCTATTGTGTTGTCAGGTTGTCAATAGGATATTGTGTTGTCAGGTTGTCAATAGGATATTGTGTTGTCAGGTTGTCAAAAGGATATTGTGTTGTCAGACTGTCAGTGTGATATTGTATTGTCAGGTTGTCAATGTGATATTGTATTGTCAGGTTGTCAATGTGATATTGTGTTGTCAGGTTGTCAATAGGATATTGTGTTGTCAGATTGTCAATGTGATATTGTGTTGACAGACTGTCAATGAGATATTGTGTTGTCAAAAGGATATTGTGTTGTCAGAATGTCAATGAGATATTGTTTTTTCAGGCTGTCAATGGGATATTGTATTATCAATGGGATATTGTGTTTTCAGTTTGACAATGGGATATTATGTTGTCAAGGCGACAGTTTTGTCAGGATGGTTCACTCTAGTCAGATTGTGTTGAAATGTAATTATTGGAGATAGTGTCAACAAATTTGATTCAGAATATAATATCAGGAATATATATGGGTGTTGGTAATGGAATAATACAGAAATACCCTGATGTATCAGTCCACATAGATCACAGAGGTCCACACAGGTCACAGAGGTCCACATCCTACAGTAGTGTTTTATGTTCATTAACTTACTCTATACTTCTCCTCAAATCTTTAATACATCTGTTTTTTTAACATTGTTTTATTCTCTCTTTTGTTTTAGAAATTTTACCAAGTTTCCAGAGTGAAGAAAAATTGAACTAAGATGTAGTGTAGAACTCTGTGATGATACCACAACTCAAGGATCTGTATACAATTTCAAAATGGATTTATCAGACGACACAGAGAGTGAATCAAGTGTTAGCAAGCACAAAGTGATGAATTCCACCTGATCAGATTTTTACAATGATTCTCCATCTCCTTTATTGATAATCATAAGTAAACAATGGAGAATAAGTTTGGTGTTACTCTGAAATCAACCGGCGCAGGAAAACCAACTGACCGGAACTTTAAACCTTCGTCTGTAACAACTTCTGGGGTTAAGAAATCTAGCTACACAGGACCTCCTCCAAAGTTTACAGACCTCAAGGCTCGCTTTGATGACGACAAAAAGGAACAGAAAACTTTTGGTTCCCTTGGGACCAAACAGAGCGACTTTGGCACTGATTACTCAGCCAAGAAAAGCGCCAATAGTACAAGTGACAAAGGAAAGTTAACCCAGCCTGCGAAGTTGGGAAAATCTACGGAAAGTGGATTTCAGAGGAATGTTACGAGTCGAGGGTCATTTGAACGAAAAACAAAGACGGAAGAAAAGGTGAAACAAGATTTAGACGATGATGGTGACGGTGCACAGATTGCTGTTGGGAAAGTTTTCACTCGCCAAAACAGTAATACTTACACAGCTACAGTTGAAAACCGTATCCAGAGACAAGGGTCAAGTGATGACCCTGTGGACAAGGTCAGGGCGAGTAATTTACTGACTGGACAACTAGCAATGCTTAGAATAAGGCCTGGTAGTGGTGGTAAAAAGGATGAACAGACTACGTTCTCCAGTCAGACAGTAGAGAAATCTAACAATGGTTTTAGTAAGGTAGAAACCAAGACAACAACAGTTAGAAGTAACTTCAACACGAAGACCAAACCATTCTCCACAAACTCAGGGAGTAGCAGTTCCCCTAAATTCGCAAAGAAATTTTCATCATCAAGTACGCCAATGGAATTTGGTCTCTCATTTTCACCAAAGAAAGGTGACGATAGTAAAACCAGTGACTTACAAAGTAAGACTGTTTCCTCACACAGTAGACAATCTAGTAGTGATTCCTTAGGGAGTTCTACCAACAGTCCTCGGTCAAACGCATCATCAGACCTTGTGCAATTAGACTCGTCTTCAATTAAAAAGTTTGATTCAATCCTTGGAACAGGAAAATTAGAACATCGAGGAAATAGACTAGAAACCAAGACTGTTACAAAAACAGTGGAAACTGGAGCAAAAAGACCTGGTAGTCCCAGAACCATAGTAACAGAAACCAAAATTGTAACAACCAGTGTATCGAAGAGACCAGGCTTAAATAAAACAGTGAGTTCTCGTGAAGAGGTCACCACATTCAGTACGAGTCAGTCAGAAAGTCACACTGCTAGACCATGGGCAGGTAAAAAGGTGGATGTTCTTAAGACATCAAGTGATGATTCAAAGCCAGAATGGCTTGATAAAAGTAAAGACATGATCAACAAGTTCCAGACCAAAATGAAACCAACGACAACAGACACTTTGGTTAATACCAGTGATAAATCTGTTATAATGAAATCTCCAACGCCTTACCATAAACCTGTCGACAAGACTGTAAAACAGCTGACCACTCACAAAGGTAAACTGGGTAAAACCGATATAAACAGCAACAAAATGACACCCGCTTGGGAGACCCGAGTTGTCACGTCGAGTCTTCAGCGGCGGTCATCAGATCTGTCTGATACAGGAAGTGACATCAGTAGTAGAAGTTCGAGTAGTTTACCCAGCAGCAGCGATATGTTAAAGAAGAAACAATACACCATCAAGAAAATGGAACCGAGTAACTTCAAAAAGATCATGGGAAATTTTGAAGAAAAGTGCAAGAGTGGAAGTACAACACCAGAACGAAAATTATCTGATCCAAAACTCGAATTTAAGAAACCTTTATCGAGAGCCAAAAATATTGTGTTAGAACGCAAGAATTCTTTTGAGTGTCCCCAGTCGCCACCGGTATCTCCAAGGGATGCAACTCTGTTAGTTCTGAAAGAAACTGGACCAATACCTAATGTGAAAAAATTTGCAAAAGAGATAAATTCTGGCCGTGCGCGTGCCTTCAGTACAGGAAGTATCAAGGATTCTGGGAGTGAACACGAGTATAATGATGCTTTTAGTCAGCATCATGGCAGGGAGTGGCCCGACATGGATCTCAGCAGTGATGAAAGTGAGGCTCTGTATGAGTTTATAGGAGAACCAGGTAAGGCATTTTGGTAGTAAAGTTGAGGAATCCAACTTAAGTCTGCAGTTTAATTCCTCAACTTTAGACAATCACAGACAAGATATAAAATACAAAGTGATTTATCATCTGTTAGAATATAAAATCAAGTCTCCTTGTTATACTGGGACATATTTAAAGGTTGTTTGAAGGTTCCAGTTGCATGTTGTAATGTATTTAAAAGGTCAACTGTTACAGGGAAAAAAATCACCCTTTTTTTTCCCTTGCATAAAAGTGCCCAGTTTCTCCCAGTGTTTTGTTTGCCTTAAAAACATGAAAGTATATATACTGAGCTTTAAAAGCAAATTTAGCACACTCTTTGATTTTACCTTACTGTCTAAAGGGAGAAACAGGTGAAAGTTTATAAATGATGAAAAAAATTATTGTTTTATTTTCCTATTCTACCAGGTGAATATCTGCTCCCTATAACTACATATACTTTACACAAAACTGTGTTGTCTGATTTTCTAGGTGTTGGAGATGGAGATGGAAGATCTCGTCATAGTCGTAACATGGCGCGACGACATGGCCAGAAAAGGTACATCAGATTAATGTTTTTTATCCAAATTCATACTAATATTTTCATTGCTTCTTTGTTCCATTTACAATAAGGTTAAAGGCCATCATTTTTAGAACATTTAACATATTCTGATATTTGTATAACTGATCCAATAATACAACTTTGTAATCTATTAGTATTGTCAATGATGTAACTTGACCTTGACCCTTCAGACTTCAGAAAAATCTCATGTTCCAATAGGAGACTTTTGACTCTCTGGAGGGTTTTCAATGTAATGTGATATAATGAGATAAAATATGATAAAACCAGAGTTGTACGAAATGAAAATAAAAATTTTGGTCTAAACCTTTAGTAGGATGTTTTTTACTAATATTTTCATTTATATAATTAATTGTATAAAGGTACTTTTTTAGCTTTTTATTCAGATTTTTAGCTCATCTGGCCGTTCATTCAAAGTTAGCTTATGGTGTGGTGCGTGGTCGTTCATTCAAAGATATCTTATGGTGTGGTGCGGGGTCCATCATCTGGTGTCTGTTGTCGGCATCAACTTTTTCATTTAAGCAACTTCTTCCCAATAATCAATGGACCAAATGTTTTGAAATTTGGCTGGTATGTTTGTAGGATGAAGACTGACAAAGTTTGTGAAAATAAAGGACTTTGATGTATATTCAAGGTCACAGGGGAAAGATTTGTTAAACATTTAAACATCTTCTTCTCATGAACTAAAAGGCCTACTAGAGGAATAATATTTGGCTGGTATGTTCCGAGGGTGAAGCCCAACAAAGATTATGGCAAGAAAAAACCTTGACCTGTATTTAAAGTCACAGGAGTTGAATTTGTTAAAATATTTAAACAACTTCATTTCATGAACTAAATGGTGGAGAGATATGATATTTGGGTGGTATATATATATACACCAGGTGAGCGCTGCAGGCCCGTTGGGCCTCTTGTCATTTGTAAGGGAACTATTTACAAGGATACGTAGTATGTGAAGCCATGAGATACTACAGCTTAGTAATATGTAGAATGTTGCTTTACACCACTTATTATCAGTAGATTTTTTTATTATCTTATGAAGAAGAGTCAAATAAATTCTTCATGGCTAAAATGGTAGGATAGCGTAGGAATACAAGGTATGGTTGTGCTCTGTATTTACATGTTCTACCCCAAATTGATCCAGAAGGAACTGTTGGCATGATACATGTTTAACAATAAGGTGTGGTCATGATATACTTCTATAATCAGGATTCCACTTCTAGTCTTAAATTGCAGACTCTTTTGTCATTGGCAGAAAATAATAATGAATTTGCTCCTTGACCTCTTTGAATTGTAGAAAGGAAGAATAGAACTGATAATGCTAACTCACCACCAGTGCAGCTGTAGGATGGGATATGGCAGTTACATTCTCTGTCATCCTTTGGAGCTATATTTTGGTCTTCAAAGTATCTGATGGGAGACATTAAAAGTTCATGTCAGAAAGCTAGATTTTATTTCCTGCCAGTCTGTGTTTCAAACCAAAATGTCAAAGTTCAAATCATTGTAATGATAGACTGTGCTATAACTTCTCGCCCATTGATAAAATCTGTATGAAACTTCACAGACTTAAGGTTTCCTATAACTAGATAATGGGGCTTGTACCAATCAATCATTCATACAGGGTGAAGGTCACACCTAAAAGGTCACGAGGCAAGGTCATTCTTATTGTCTGCCCAGTAAGTGTCTGTACATATAAAGGTATATGATGTCCACACTTTATTGTATAACCATGCCAACAGTGCCTTTTGATCTATTGGGATAGGGGTTTAAATTTGTTGTCTTTAAAAACATAAATTTCTCTGGAATTTTTTTTTGGAAAATTTCATGATAGAGTCTCATGTTTTATCCTGCATTACAAATTAAGGCTTGAATCTCTGTACTTCTGCTATGTGAATGGTCAGTGAATACATGTACCTACTAAAATATCTCGATGAAATATGTGATGGAAAGTTCTATGTACCTGATAACAATGTAGTAGACATATACTGCTTATTTTCAACCTTCTATTAACCATATAGTGTCTTAAGGAAAAGATGGTTAGTGTCAGCACCTGGACAATGGTCAGTTTCTGTTCTCACTCGATTATAATGGATTGTCTTATGTGGGTCATTAAAATTTTCTCTAAGGCCGAAAAGAATCAAGTGAAGATCTGGATAAGGATTGATGTAGATACATATGGCTGTGATGACGTACTGACCATATCCTAAAGGCACATATATACGATAAACAACTTGCTTTTAATCGTATTTTTATTGACATCACATTTGATTATAGATTGATTGTACCACCATCAGACTGGGCTGTTCAAATCACCCTATGTCCATTGTTTGGCTTCTGTTCTTGTTATCACTATTTTTGGTAAAATTCAGATCTTTCCAATATTTCATTCCTGGATTTCCTTTGGTCTGTACTTGTGTCGTCTTTATTTCAGGCCTGATAAAAAAAAATGGCTGCCAGGTGGCCATCTTGGATTTTGTTTGTTAATACTATTTTTTGAGAAGGATTTGCTGATCTTACTCAAATTTAAAATCTATCTTCTCCTTGATCCCTGGATATGCTCTTTGATTTTGGAATTGATCTGAAAAACAAAATGGCTGCCAGTCAGTCATCTTGAATTTTGACAATTGAAGTTTGTTATTGCTATTTCTTAAAAAAAATACTGGAAGGATCTTCTCAGATGTTACATGTATGTTTGCCTTGGTTTTCAGTTGTGCTCTTTTCATTTTGGGACTGATCAGAAAAGCAAAATAGGTGAAAAGCATCCATGTTGGATTTTGTTAAGGAAAGTTTGTTATCACTATTTCTTGAGAAGGACAGAAAGGAAATATCTTAAATCCCTGATTTTGTCCTTTGATTTTGGGACTGTTCACAATTTACAATGGTCTTATAATTAAGAGCAGATAGGATGAAATAAGAGAAAAGAGGGGAAAATATTAAACTCTGAAAGAGAAAATGAAACAAGACTTGGCACCAAGAATCCTCTTACATCTTGGTTTAGTGATCTCGTTGCTTTCAGTCCTATTTTTCGTTGACCACGTTTGATTATATTTACTTTAATGGTATGTATTAATGAACCTCTATATATTGTAGTTCCTGTTTTAAACAGATTGTTATATCATGGTAATATCTATATACTGTATGTAATTTTCAATCATTTATTTCTTTGTAAATTGGAAAAATAATGTATTGAATACCTGAGAGAACTGATATGTACAAGAATTTTATTCTTTTTGGAAATATGACACACATGGCTTAATTGAAAAATATTTTGAAAATTTGAAATGTTCCAGGTGATATTTAGAAATGTGATTTAATAATTCAGGGCGTTTTTTATTGGATTTGTTAAGGAAATGTCCAGGTATAACTTGCAAGTTTTGGGAATCTAGCTTAATTATGAAATAATTAAATGGTGAATAGAATCTGTCATTGACTTCAAAACAGCTGTCAAAGAAAATACATTGTGTTTAATAGTGTAATGTGGGAAACTGAAAGCAAGATTTATGCTATTTTAATTAACACTTCTTACCTAAATTTTCCAATTTACATTGTAAGTGCTGTTTATTTTGTGTTTGTGAGATTTATATATATATTTTGCACACTATATGCTTTTGATTTGCAGTCCTGATTTAGATAGTGGGTAAGCAAACCGGCTGTTTATGTATACAGAGTTATCTACCCTTCCTGCTTGTCCTACGTGCCTTGCTTTATCTTTGTACTGCATTATACTATATTAATTACAATACTAAAATAAATAATGATTATCAGTTATGGTAATAAATTGAATTCTTAAAATGTTTTAAAAATGATATCAATGTTACAAAGTATCACCCATACATTATTATTGGTAAAGTCACATTCAGAAAGAAATAGGAAAGAATCATTTATAAAATTATATTTAAATATATCAACATTGGCTTAAAATACTAATACACTGATTGATTTAAATCTCAACAAGAAGCTTAATAACAAAGAATGATAACAACAGAGAAAGTGCTGACCGTGACCCACTTTTACAGGTGACCAGTCCGGTCCACAGCTAGCTTGTGTTAGTTAACATGATGCACGACAACTTCAATATTATTTCACTTGTCAGTTTAAAGAGTAAAAGAGATTGAACACCCATTTAAATGTTGAGTGTATGTAGTTATAATGAAGTGATAATACTTAAGGTGTTGATATAACATTACAAATGTAATATGAAGATTTGTCAGGATTGAAATTTGGGGGAAAATTGTTGTGTGGAGTTTAAAATGGCTATTTAGATTGTCATTGATAAATCTTTGATAAATGATTATTATGTGATTAAATCTACTGCTACATAGAGCTAGGTATAGGAATGCTACAGGTTCAGCAGACTGTGTTATTACATATATATATATCTATACTGCATGACTGTGATTATGGTGTAATAATGGATGTTAACAGGAATTTGTCAAAATGATAACGTTTATTATCTTAGTATGTACTTCAGTCTGTTTACTTCATCTTCATCAGAAATTACCAGGTACTTCTGTAATAATACTACATTGCTATCATGTGACATTTTGCTTGATCATTTTTTGAGCAAAATAAATCTACTGATTTACTAGTAAAGACGAAAATCACAAAAAAGATCAATTAATTATCAGGTTAAAATTTCATTTTCCTCATGTTTAAATCTGCTATGCACAGCTTCGGTATCACAGTAGCGTTAGTGACATCTCTTAGTGGTGTTTGGATGTCTCTACACCTGTCAGGGGTCAGCTACAGTAAGCAGTGCCAGTTAGCTCTAGTGACATCTCTTAGTGGTGTTTGGATGTCTCTACACCTGTCAGGTGTCAACTACAGTAAGCAGTGCCAGTTAGCTCTAGTGACATCTCTTAGTGGTGTTTGGATGTCTCTACACCTGTCAGGTGTCAATTACAGTAAGCAGTGCCAGTTAGCTCTAGTGACATCTCTTAGTGGTGTTTGGATGTCTGTACACCTGTCAGGTGTTAACTACAGAAAGCAGTGCCAGTTAGCTCTAATGACATCTCTTAGCGGTGTTTGGATGTCTGTACACCTGTCAGGTGTTAACTACAGAAAGCAGTGCCAGTTAGCTCTAGTGACATCTCTTAGTGGTGTTTGGATGTCTCTACACCTGTCAGGGGTCAACTAAAGTAAGCAGTGCCAGTTAGCTCTAATGACATCTCTTAGTGGTGTTTGGATGTCTGTACACCTGTCAGGTGTTAACTACAGAAAGCAGTGCCAGTTAGCTCTAATGACATCTCTTAGTGGTGTTTGGATGTCTCTACACCTGTCAGGTGTTAATTACAGTAAGCAGTGCCAGTTAGCTTTAGTGACATCTCTTAGTGGTGTTTGGATGTCTACACCTGTCAGGTGTTAACTACAGTAAACAGTGTCAGTTAGCTCTAGTGACATCTCTTAGTGGTGTTTGGATGTCTGTACACCTGTCAGGTGTTAATTACAGTAAACAGTGTCAGTTAGCTCTAGTGACATCTCTTAGTGGTGTTTGGATGTCTCTACACCTGTCAGGTGTTAATTACAGTAAGCAGTGCCAGTTAGCTTTAGTGACATCTCTTAGTGGTGTTTGGATGTCTGTACACCTGTCAGGTGTTAATTACAGTAAACAGTGCCAGTTAGCTCTAGTGACATCTCTTAGTGGTGTTTGGATGTCTCTACACCTGTCAGGTGTTAACTACAAGAAGCAGTGCCAGTTAGCTCTAGTGACATCTCTTAGTGGTGTTTGGATGTCTCTACACCTGTCAGGTGTCAATTACAGTAAGGAGTGCCAGTTAGCTCTAATGACATCTCTTAGTGGTGTTTGGATGTCTCTACACCTGTCAGGTGTTAACTACAGTAAGCAGTGCCAGTTAGCTCTAGTGACATCTCTTAGTGGTGTTTGGATGTCTCTACACCTGTCAGGTGTTAACTACAGTAAGCAGTGCCAGTTAGCGTTAGTGTTTTGATTATTTACATAGGAATTAGGAAACAATTCAATTTTTAAACCTGATTTTGTGGTATCATCCTAGTCTGGCCAGATCTGTAACAAGAGGCCTTCATGATGGAGGGCTAGTTGGTCATCATGTGTGGGTCATCACGTGTGGGTCATCACATGTGGGTCATCACGTGTGGGTCATCACGTGTGGGTCATCGTGTGTGGGTCATCACGTGTGGGTCATCGTGTGTGGGTCATCACGTGTGGGTCATCGTGTGGGTCATCACGTGTGGGTCATCGCGTGTGGGTCATCACGTGTGAGTCATCGCGTGTGGGTCATCACGTCGCGTGTGGGTCATCATGTGAGGTCCATGATGGGGAGTGGGGATAATGAATCAGGGTTATTCTATCTGTGTTTGTCTGATGACCTACGAATTAAGAAATGTAGATGATCGTATAAAATTATGGCATTAAAAAAGGTTTATTGGAAGTCATTCTTAAAATTATATCAATCCTTGTTTGTTAAAAAAAGATAAATCCGAGGTGTTAACATTTGTCAGTGATTATAACTTATTTAGCAATAACTAATGCATCATAGCTACAGGTAAAGGGAGGTAACTTCTGATTTATTTCTTACCTTAAAACTTACTGAGAGAAACTTGAATAAGATTAACAAATGACATACATTTATTGACAGGAATTATACAGAATTAAGAAAATGCTCTGCTTTACAATATATTCATTATTCCATATTTGCCTTCACAATTTTAGATTTGTATTCTACATGTGAACAAATTCTTCAGGGCTACATGTATTTTATTTTCTTTTCATATTTATGTGTTCTGAGATAAGAATATAAAAAGTCAAACTTTCTTTTGCCAAAAAGTGAGATAGAAAATGTCCAAATTTAAGGTTCTACTGTCCGTTTTGGTTCCATATCAAGACTGTAATATCATTTTCCTTTCACCCCCACTGAGATAAATGGATCAGTCTGATTGATTCGTTAGTCACAGTCCATGATGATATCTTGGTGGTTGCAGGTAGCTATTAACACAGACATTTCAGACAGATTACCAGAAAAGTTAGAATGATTTAAAAGTGCAGACCTGAGATAATTGGCTGTGAATCTGTAATTACTGTGACCAATGAAACATTAATGACACACATTTCTCCCGGGAGAAAATGTCCAAAGGCATTGAAAAATCGAAATAATGTAAATTACATGCATGGATTGCAAGTGGTTGCCATTTTCTCATCCTGTCGAATAATTATTAAATGCCATGTTTCTCATCTGGTTGTAACACACTGACCCGTATCACTCATTTTTATCGAGTTTTTTTTTGGGCAAAGAATTATAAAAATTAAAAAAATTGAATTTCATCAAGGAATTGCTTTGTAAAAGTTTTCTCTGATTAAAAACTAATTTACATATTTATTTACATATGTTGTCAATGTACTAATAATTACCTTAAAAATAATGGGTTTATTGACTATAAACAAATTACATGTATACATACTGATTCCTAGCATCCCAATGATATAATAATCATACTTTTTACATATACAGCATGCAAGTTAAAGTATCATATTATACACTATACAGCATTTCTACCTTGCAGTTATCAATATATTTAGCTTCAAACTGTGACAGGTACATACAAAGAAATAATTCATTTCTTTGAGAGATTGATGCCCCGTTGATTCTGTGGATGTTCGATTTATTCATGTTGCATTTTGGTTGCCATAGTTATCATGTATTTTCAAGAATATCCCTCTGTGTATTGTTGGGACTAGGAGCATTTTTACATATCTATGTAAGGAAGGTGACATTTTGGGGGTTTGAACCCGTCACCGTTGGGTGTGTAGTCGAACACTAAACCACAGACTGTCCTTCTACATCCTTATCCAGAAAACTGTAAACAATCTTAATGACAGTATAATGATTCACTGATCCATTAGTGTATTGAATCTCAGGATGTTATATTGATGCATTGTCTATCCTGGAATTGTATCGTGATACCTAAAAGATTATAGTTACCTTCCTTGACAGATTACAAAATCATGACTGACAAAGAAAAACATAAGTTTGAATCAATAAATAAGACAAGAAACATCTCTCTGTGATGGTTATTTGTCTGATAAATATGTCATATTCATTCTGCAGATGAAACTGACATCACTTTGCTAGGGATGTAGTTTTACTTAACACAAATTGATGTCTCGTATATGGTGATACATACTGTGAGAGATTTATGATGATACAAATAACACCTCCCACGATATTTGTCGATAATAAAATGTCTGGTTTAAATCTCATATCCTACCAGATTTGAGACAAGGTTTTTTACCAATTATAACCACATTATAGATTTATTTGAAATTTTAATGAAATTAGATTCAGATAAACACCGCAACAAATCACCCTAGGTTTGATCCATTGCCCTGTAAGGTATCGATATCCCAGAAAAGTATTGCTCCAAAGATAATGACAGTACAGTCAACCACATGTTAGCCTAAGGACATTGCATTATGTTTCTTCACATAGAGGTTATGACTTGTACATTTAAACAAGAAGTATTATAGGCAGTCTAGTAGCAGCATGAAATATTGTGAAGGTTTTCAGTTAAAGGGAAATAACTCTGATAGTAATAGCTCTGCATGACTGTAAGGAGTACTAAATCCAGACTTCAGGGAAATTTTAATCCAACTCACTAATCAAACATTTTATTGGTATGTTTTTTGAAATGCTTGGTACAAACTTATACTAAAGTTTTAATACATTGGCATTAAGAGACATGCAGATGGTAACTTTAACCCAGTCTGTTTTCAGAATATATTTTTAGTAGCATTTTGACAAAAATTAAACTGTTACTTGATTTGCAATATGTATTTATCTTTTTCTGTGAATCTTAAATTTCAATTTCCATTTTCAGGAAAGGGTGTCACAGACCTAGTTATGAGGAGCAGAGTTCTTCTGACCTAGCAACAGAGGGCAGCAGCAGTAAGGACGGTACCCTGGAAAGCACTGATGATGTAAGTTTCTGTAACAATGTCAGAAATTCATAGATCTCAGAAAAATAAGGACAAACATAAAACATTGTCACCAGAATAACTTCAGTAAAATTAAGACAATGTTGCAAAGTATTATGACATTACAGTCAAAGGTCATGACCTGTATAACTGTCAGTAAGAACTCAACCAGGTAGTTCAAAGATCACAGAAAGGTCATGACCTGTATAACTGTTAACAAGAAATTAATCAGGTAGTTCAAAGATCACAGAAAGGTCATGACCTGTATAACTGTTAACAAGAACTCAATCAGGTAGTTCAAAGATCACAGAAAGGTCATGACCTGTATAACTGTTAACAAGAACTCAATCAGGTAGTTCAAAGATCACAGAAAGGTCATGACCTGTATAACTGTTAACAAGAATTCAATCAGGTAGTTCAAAGATCACAGAAAGGTTATGACCTGTATAACTGTTAACAAGAACTCAATCAGGTAGTTCAAAGATCACAGAAAGGTCATGACCTGTATAACTGTTAACAAGAATTCAATCAGGTAGTTCAAAGATCACAGAAAGGTTATGACCTGTATAACTGTTAACAAGAACTCAATCAGGTAGTTCAAAGATCACAGAAAGGTCATGACCTGTATAACTGTTAACAAGAACTCAATCAGGTAGTTCAAAGATCACAGAAAGGTCATGACCTGTATAACTGTTAACAAGAATTCAATCAGGTAGTTCAAAGATCACAGAAAGGTTATGACCTGTATAACTGTTAACAAGAACTCAATCAGGTAGTTCAAAGATCACAGAAAGGTCATGACCTGTATAACTGTTAACAAGAACTCAATCAGGTAGTTCAAAGATCACAGAAAGGTCATGACCTGTATAACTGTTAACAAGAATTCAATCAGGTAGTTCAAAGATCACAGAAAGGTTATGACCTGTATAACTGTTAACAAGAACTCAATCAGGTAGTTCAAAGATCACAGAAAGGTCATGACCTGTATAACTGTTAACAAGAAATCAATCAGGTATTTACAAATTTAAAGATCACAGAAAGGTCATGACTTGTATATATACCATACAATTTACATGTAGTTTATTTATAGGGAAATCACATTTTTGAGCAGAATTTGTATAATTTTCATTGGAATAATTTAAAACTTGATAAGAATTATAAATATATGATGATGGTTTGATGATTTGCGTATATTGACCTTGACTGACCCCCAGGTGTTTGAATTATATCACTAAGACTAACATTTACTATCTTATTTTTTGTGACACTTTAAAGCTGATGACATTAGAATTTATCCCTATAACCTACAAATTCAATTTTGCTTATTTCAAGTGACCATCAAGACTGCTAGGTCTCTTCTTTTGATTCTACAAAAAAACTTCTATCTTAATATAACAGAGATCATTACAGTATTTATTTTGAGGCCTCTGTAAGGATTTGAACCCGGGACTTCTGTCTAATTAGTGTGGCACTCAGTTGATTAAGCTAAAGAGAGGTCCTCTATCGCTAAGCAGGTGATATAGTTATCACTCTTGTTGACTCAGATTGAAACCTGCAAGGCTTTTTTTTTTGGGGGGGGGGGGGGGGGGAGGAAACCAGATTATATATAATTACCCAGGTAAAAGCTGCATGGTCAAGGAGATGATCATGTACCTTTTCACGTCTGATTTTCAGAAATCGTCATGGTGACATGCAAGTGTGTTACACTACACCACCCAACCACTCTCTTATAGGTCAAAGGTTACTGAAAGGTTGTAACCTGTAAACACCTCAATGTCATTTTATTAAGCATATTTTTATAAAGACATAAAAAGAAATTTGTCATCTTAATCAGACATTTCACCAGTAAATTGGGTGTTAATTTACAGGAAAGCTTCACTGGCTGGATTATATTCTATGTACTTCTGATATTAGGCTCACAAAACCCATGTTATCGGACGAAATGCAAGGATCTGTCAATTAAAGGGAGATAATTGTGATCACCTTAGCTGATCCATCTGAAGCTGTCACCTCAAGCAATTTTAAGTTGAAATGCTTCAGGAACTTTAGATTTACTTCCTGAGGGTGAAAGGTCAAACTTTGAGTCTGAGATATACCGTGTAAACCAAAGTATATCTGTACTGTGTTGTAGATTGATTGGATGTCAGCTCTTAATTGTTCTAACACAGTATAACATACTGTATTGTAAAACAGATCTAGACAGCAGTGGCAAGAATCTCATTTATATCCAGGAAGATCTGTATTTCTATATGAGAGTTAATTTGTAGGAAGTTTGTCCCCTAGAGGACATTTATTCAAGCGTGATATACAGGTACACCTACATATATCTATATATATATACACAACAGGTGTATACTATATATGTTAAAAGAGGCCACCAGAGGGGGATTTTCCATAGCTGTGGAATAAGAAATAAGTAATTCATTATATATTTAATTGGAAACTGTACATGTTTGTGATGAGTGAAATATAGTGAGAATTTACCAAAAAAACCTTCTAATCATTTACTCAAGAAGCATCTTTATCAAGAACATCAAAAACACCCAGCTTCGGTGCCCCATTTAAACGAATTAGTCTTTGGAGTTTCCGGGATCTTACATAGTAAGTTGACAGCCTTCAGGAGTTGTCCTGATCAAAGGTAAAGTCAGTGTGATTTAGCTGCTTTAACAGTACTGTTTTTTAAGATTCTCCAGCAGTCATATAACAGGTAAAACAGTCTGATACTTGTGTCAAATGTTTAAATTCCTGACATTCCATGCTGTGTGTTTACTCCTGTACCTATACAGTGTGTATCGGGTAGGCCTTGCCTGATAATGAGGTCAACTCTGTATATAAACAGGTCATCTTTCCTTTATTTTATGTTACAATCTCAAAATATATCAAATTTAGATCAATATAAACCAACACCATTAATCTATTTACTTTGGACATTATACAGGTTTGTATTTGTACACTGTAAATGAACTTGAATTAAGTATAATTTGTACATGTTATCAATTTTAGCAAATCAGTGCAATGATAAACTCACTCATCAGTAATAATTCATCTGTAAACACAAAATTCACCAATAGTTCTATCACATTCTAGTGTAATACTTTGAGAGTTTAAAACACTAAGATACAATTATTGGTGTAAATATGTATGTTTACTGTATATATATATCTATAATGTATAAATCCTATTTTATCTCCTAACCTTGTGTTCATTGAGTTATAACTCTCTGCTGTATAACAGTAATTCACAGTAAATCAGGATAAACCTCCTCTGACAAATTCATTGATATTGATTTGAGATAGATCACATATGGAATTTCTATAGTTATGTATATATTTACCTGTAAGGTAATGTACACATACTTATGTGTAACAGAAACATGTGCTTGCATAAAGATTGTGTTATCTTATTTGTGTGTTGTTTAGTACATACCAAGGGATGTATTACCTTTATACCAGGAACACTAAACAATTGTTTTCTTTAAACAACATTGTATCAGAAGAATTCTGTTATTATAAGCAGAAATCTCCACAGCCTGGCTTTTTACTTCTTATTTATCGTTTACTTAGACTGTTTGATCTGATGTAGAAAACTCCTTCCATCTGGTGCTTTGTAGGAAAGTAGGATCAGGGAGATAGGAATGATGATATCCAATGATGGTGGCCTCTTTTAGTAAATTATAAAACTTACTTTTTATACATTCTTCTCCTTTGATAGTGAGATTATAGTACATATCATAGAACCGTGACTCTAGGTCTGATACCAGGGAGGCAAGGGGGCCAGGGAGGCCATGGGGTTGGGAGGCTAGGGGGTAGGTAAGTGGACGAGGAGGCAAGGGGGTCGGGGAGGCCATGGGGATGGGGAGGCAAGGGGGTCAGGGAGGCAAGGGGTTGGGAAGGCCAGGGGGATGGGGAGGCCAGGGGGTAGGGAAGGGGACGGGGAGGCAAGAAGGTCAGGGAGGCCATGGGGATGGGGAGGCAAGGGGGTCAGGGAGGCAAGGGGTTGGGGAGGCCAGGGGGATGGGGAGCCATGGGGGTCAGGGAGACAAGGGGGTCAGAAGGCCAGGAGGATGGGGAGGCCAAGGGGTCAGGGAGGCAAGGGGGTCTGGGAGGCCAGGAGGATGGGAAGGCCAGGAGGATGGAGAGGCTAGGGAGATGGGGAGGCCAGGGGGATGAGAGGAGAGGGGGATAGGGAGCCGAGGGGGTCGGGGAGGTCAAGAGGATGGGGAGGCCAGGAGGATGGGAAGGCCAGGAGGATGGGGAGGTCAGGGGATGGGGAGCCGAGGGGGTCTGGTAGACAAGGGGGAAGGGTAGGCCAGGCTAATGGGGAGGCCAGGCGGATGGGGAGGAGAGGGGTCAGGAGGCCAGGGGATGGGGAGGGGGGATCAATCATCTAATGCATATAACTCTATTTTCAAATGAATTTTGATGCAAAGTTTTATATCAAATATCCTAAAATCATTCTACTTGTTTTACATTTAGACATAAGACCACAAACGGAATTACAACTCATTAAGTTTTGTTCTCATTATAATATGAGGTTGTGAAAAGTGTTTGTGTGGTGCCTCTTTAAAAAACATTCATGTTTTTGTGTTGTTTGTCCTATTAGATGCAGAAAAATGTGGATTAGGAAAGTGATGGCCAGTTTATAGATTTATGGCTATTTCTGAAGACAAAGATATTATTTCTTTACGGTAAAATCTGGTCAAAATTTGACATCCTTATATGTGTTACAGCTAACCTTGACCTTTCGTCAAATGAATATAAGATATTGTAGAATATATTTACTGATAATTACAATGATAAGATATATTTGAGTGTATAACATATGTTCAACAGCATGGTGGGCTGGATATAGTATTCATATTGGTAAAACACATGTTTTCATTAAAGTGTGACTGTTAAAAAAACTTAAGCTTTAAGTATGATTCCTGGTGTTTGTCAGCCTCTTCACTTAACACCCTTTTCCCCTGCAAATATTTCAGTGGAATGGCCATATGACTGTATCAG